CTTCAATCTTTGGAAATACCTGTATGGAAATGGGATCACATTACCATGGATTTCGTTATGAAATTACCGTGAACTCCAAAAGGATATGACGCGATTTAGGTAATTGTGGATCGTTTATCTAAATCTGCATATTTTCTACTGATAAGAGAGAAATACTCTTTAGAAAAACTAGCGCAGATTTACATTAAAGAGATTGTTACTAGACACGGTGTTCCTTTGTCTATTATTTCTGATAGAGACAGTCGGTTTAAATTAAAATTCTGGGAAGGATTACAGAAAGCTCTAGGGTTCAAAATTCAATTAAGTACAACTTATCATCCACAGACTGATGGACAGAGTGAAAGGACTATTCAAACTCTGGAGAATATGTTGAGAAGTTGTATTATTGACTTCGGAGGATCATGGGAAGATCACTTACCATTAATAGAGTTTGCATATAACAACAGTTATCATTCCAGTATCCAAGCGKCACCATATGAAKTRYTRTATGGACGTAAATGTCGAACGCCGTTGTGCTGGAATGAAGTGGGTGAGAAACAACTAACGGGTCCTGAGATTGTTCAAGAAACTTCCGAAAAGATTGAACAAATCCGCGAAAGAATTAAAACAGCACAGGATCGCTAGAAAAGTTATGCAGATAATCGCCGAAAATCCATTGAATTTGATAAAGGCGATTTTGTAATGTTAAAAGTTTCGCCATGGAAAGGTGTTATCAGATTCGGGAAGAAGGGAAAGCTCAATCCAAGGTATGTCGGGCCATTCAGAATTTGTAAGTGAATCGGACCAGTAGCATATCAGTTAGAGCTACCAGAAGAATTGAATCGGATTCATAACACTTTTCATGTATCGAATCTGCGGAAATGTTTGGCTGATCCAAATCTAGTTGTATCTTTGCCAGAGATTCAATTAGACAGTAAATTAAATTTTATGGAAACACCAGAAGTCGTAATTGACAGAAAGATCAGAGTGTTGAGAAACAAAGAAATAAGTCTGGTTAAAGTACAATGGAAGTTTCACAAAGGACCGGAGGGGACCTGGGAGTTGGAGTCAAATATGAGATTAGAATAACCATGGCTTTTTGATTAAAGGAATTCCGGGACGGAATTCTCTTGAGGGGTGGATAATGTAATAACCGGATCCTGGTTATTACTCAAGGTAATTTATATGTGATTATTTGATTAAATGATTATGTGGTAGCATGATAATTTGATACATACTGGTATGAAAATTATGTGCATAATATATGCATATGTGTTTTGTGTGTGCATGCATGGAGTATGTATGCATGAGTATGGGATATGTATGTATAGATGTATGCATGGTGGGTTATATGCATGAGGTGGAAGGAAGAAAGGAAGGCGGTTAGC